TGCTAAAAAAAAGGCCACTGGATTTATGCAAGTGTTTTGATTCAATTTTGGCCAAATGGAATGGCATAGGCTGTTGAAGGTTTTTGGAAAGCCTTTCCATCTACCGAAGAAAAGTTAGGCCATCATTAAAAAGCTTAATTTTCTCCTGTTTTTCCCTTAATTTTTTTTAAACCGAAATTTTTCACTTCATTTATGAGGCATGTCCCTTTCCTGGCCCCTTTAAATACCTAGGGCCAAAAACCCCCCCCCCCGAAAATTTTAGGAAATTTCTTTATAAGACCTCATATTTTCTCCCGGGTTTTAAATTTGGGTTTTTCTTTCAACCCGTTTTTCATTTTCTAGCAGCCAAAGGGTTATCCCCCGTCATTAAGCAACCCCTGATAGCTGAAAGCATTTTTTAGACTCCCCTCTTTTAAAACCTTTTTAAAAGGATGCCCCAACCTGTCCCTGAAAAACCCCTGGGAGGGGAGGTTTCATTTTAGAACGTGTTTTTCCCCCAAAAATATTTTGGGAAAAATTTGGGGCATAGGTTCTACCTCCGTGTGCACATTTCTTTCCCCCAAATTGAAAAAAAATAATTTTGTTTTCACATTTTAAGCTAAAATCGATCTGTTTCATTTTATCACCTTATGATTTGGGGAAGTTGGGGAAGGAAAAAGGTTGGTTTAAGGGGTTTCCATTGTACGTAGCTGAAGAGGGTTGGATAGGGTAGTGAGGAGGTAATGAAGAGGGTTGGATAAGGTAGTGAGGAGGTAATGAGAGGGTTGGATAGGGTAGTGAGGAGGTAATGAAGAGGGTTGGATAAGGTAGTGAGGAGGTAATGAAGGTTGGCTAGGTAGTGAGGGGTATGAAGGGTTTTGGCTAGGGTATGCGGCGGTACATGCCAGGGTTGGATACGGTAGTGAGGCGGTCTGAGCGGGTTGGCTGGGGTCGTGGGCGGTCCTGCAGGGGTTGGCTGGTCGTGCGGCGGTCTCGCCGCGGGTTGGCTCGGGTCTCCGGCGGTCCTGCCGCGGTTTTGGGTCCGGTCGTGCGGCGGTCTGCCGCGGGTTGGCTGGGTCGTGCGGCAGTCCTGGCGCGGTTGGCTCCGGTCGTGCGGCGGTCCTGCCGCGGGTTGGCTGCGTCGTGTGGCGGTCCTGCGGCGGTTGGCTCGGGTCGTGCGGCGGTCCTGCCGCGGGTTGGCTCCGGTCGTGCGGCGGTCCTGCCGCGGGTTTGGCTGGGGTCGTGCGGCGGTCATGCGGCGGGTTGGCTCGGTCGTGCGGCGGTCCTGCGCGGTTGGCTGGGGTCGTGTGGCGGTCCTGCGGCGGTTGGCTCGGGTGGTGTGGCGGTCCTGCCGCGGGTTGGCTCGGTCGTGCGGTGGTCCTGCCGCGGGTTGGCTCGGGTCGTGCGGTGGTCTGCCGCGGGTTGGCTGGAGTCGTGCGAGGTCCTGCGCAGGGTTGGCTCGGGTCGTGTGGACGGTCCTGCCCGGGGTTGGCTCGGGTCGTGTGGCGTCCTGCCGCGGGTTGGCTGGGTCGTGCGGCGGTCCTGCGGGGGTTGGCTCGGGTGGTGTGCGGTCCTGCCGCGGGTTGGCTCGGGTCGTGTGGCGGCTCCTGCCGCGGGTTGGCTCGGGTCGTGTGGCGGTCCTGCCGGGTTGGCTCGGGTCGTGCGGCGGTCCTGCGCGGTGTGCCGCGGTCCCGCCGCGTGTTGGCTGGGGTCGTGCGGCGGTCCTGCGCGGGTTGTACTCGGGTAGTGAGGTGGTCCGCCCGGGTTGGCTGGGTCGTGCGGCGTCCTGCCGCGGTTGGTGGGGTCGTGCGGCGGTCCTGCCGCGGGTTGGCTCCGGTCGTGCGGCGGTCGCTCGCGGGTTGGCTGGGGTGTGCGGCGGTCCTCGGGGTTGGCTCCTGTCGTGGGCGGGTCCTCTGGGTTGGCTGGGGGTGCGGGTCCTGCCGCGGGTTTGGCTCCGGGCGTGCGGCGGTCCTGCCGCGGGTTGGCTCTGGGTCGTCCGGGTCCTGCCGCGGGTTGGCTCCGGTCGTGCGGCGGTCCTGCCGCGGGTTGGCTGGGGTCGTGCGGCGTCCTGCCGCGGGTTGGCTCCGGTCGTGCGGCGGTCTGCCGCGGGTTGGCTGGGTCTGCGGCGGCCTTCCGCGGGTTGGCTGGCGTCGTGTGGCGGTCCTGACGGCGGTTGGCTCGGGTCTGCGGCGGTCCTGCCGCGGGTTGGCTCGGTCGTGCGGCGGTCCTGCGCGGGGTGGCTGGGTCGTGCGGCGTCCTGCGCGGGTTGGCTCGGGTCGTGCGGCGGTCCTGCCGTGGGTTGGCTGGGGTCGTGTGGCGGTCCTGCGGCGGGTTGGCTCGGGTGGTGTGGCGGTCCTGCCGTCGGTTGGCTCGGGTCGTGCGGTGGTCCTGCCGCGGTTGCTCGGGTCGTGGTGCGTCCTGCCGACGTTGGCTGCTCGTGCGGCGGTCCTGCGCGGGTTTTGGGTCGGGTCGTGTGGCGGTCTGCCGCGGGTTGGCTGGGTCTGCGGCGTCCTGCGGGGTTGGCTCGGGTGGTGCGGCGGTCCTGCCGCGGGTTGGCTCGGGTCGTGTGGCGGTCCTGCCGCGGGTTGGCTCGGGTCGTGTGGAGGTCCTGCCGCGGGTTTGGTCGGTCGTGCGGCGTACTGCGCGGCGTGCCGCGGTCCTGCCGCGTGTTGGCATGGGGTGTGACGGCGGTAATGCAGCGGGTTGGCTCGGGTCGTGCGTGTACTGCGCGGGTTGGCTAGGGTGTGCGGCGGTCATGGACGGGTCTGCCGAGGCTGCCGCGGTTGGCTCGGGTCGTGTGGCGGTCTGCCGGGGTTGGCTGGGGTCGTGCGGCGGTCTGCCGCGGGTTGGCTCGGGTCGTGCGGTGGTCCTGCCGGGTTGGCTCGGGTAGTGAGGAGGTCATGACAGAGGTAGTGAGCGTCATGCAGCGGTTGGATGGGTCGTGGGTGTATGACGCGGGTTGGCTGGGTAGTGAGGCGGTACTGAGGGGTTGGATCGGGTCAGTGAGGCGGTCATGAAGAGGGTCGTGAAGCGGTTAATGCGCGGGTTGGATGGGGTAGTGAGGTGGTAATGAAGAGGGTTGGATGGGGTAGTGAGGAGGGTTGGATAGGGTAATGAGGAGGTAATGCAGAGGGTTGGATGGGGTAGTGAGGTGGAGTGTACTTTCTCTGATAGCAACCATAAGATGAAGTAACCTAACTTGTCTTTTGGGTGAACTATCCCTTTAAATCCTCTTAAACCCACGTTTTTATTTCCTGGCCTTGCTTTCTTTCTTTGGTCAAAATTTGCTCATTTTTATGACTAACCAACCATTTTGCATTACGCTGAAAACACATGTAGCTTATTTATGTCAAGCTATAAGTGTTGTTTTGGAAGGAGGTAGACCACCAAAGTCCTCAGTCATTTCTTAAAAAGATCAATCACGTTTTATTTTAATCAGTCCCTTTTTAAGAAACGGCAGTTGTTTAGAATAACACTTCCATATACAGCACAGAGCTCTGTGTTTGGTGAGGCTGAGGCCGCTGGGGTTAGGGAAAGTGGCCGTTAGGAATGCTTCTAATGTGGTGAGAGAGCAGTTGAAGTGTTGCTCTGTTTGGATGCAATGCAAAGGTCAAACACAGCATACAAAAACATCTCCCTCTTTTGGCAAAAAATTGTCTCGTACTCTTCTTCCTTGACAAAGTTGCAAAAGCTCTCGACTGTGTTTAGTGGAGGTAATGGAAATGTTGTTTGTTTGCCAAAGCAGAGGATGATGATAATATGATGATAATATGATGATAATATGATGATAGTATGATGATAGTATGATGATAATATGAGAGGGTTGAGATGGCCTGTGTTGTTGTTACCTTGGAATGAGGCTAGGGGGTACCATGGTCTGTTGGGTCTAGGTGGTACCATGGTCTGTTGGGTCTAGGGGGTACCATGGTCGGTTGGGTCTGGGTGGTACCATGATCTGTTGGGTCTGGGTGGTACCATGGTCTGTTGGGTCTAGGTGGTACCATGGTCGGTTGGGTCTGGGTGGTACCATGATCTGTTGGGTCTGGGTGGTACCATGGTCTGGTGGGTCTAGGTGGTACCATGGTCTGGTGGGGTCTAGGTGGTACCATGGTCTGTTGGGTCTAGGTGGTACCATGGTCTGTTGGGTCTGGGTGGTACCATGGTCTGTTGGGTCTGGGTGGTACCATGGTCTGTTGGGTCTAGGTGGTACCATGGTCTGGTGGGTCTAGGTGGTACCATGGTCTGTTGGGTCTAGGTGGTACCATGGTCTGTTGGGTCTAGGTGGTACCATGGTCCTGTTGGGTCTGGGGTGTACCATGATCTGGGTTTGGGTCTGGGGTGGTACCATGGTCTTGGTGGGTCTAGTGGTACCATGGGGTCGGTGTGGGTCTGGGTGGTACCATGATCTAGTATGGAGTCTGGGGTGGTACCATGGTCTGTTGGGTCTAGGTGGTACCCATGGGTCGTTGGTCTGGGTGGTACCATGATCTGTTGGGTCTGGGTGGTACCATGGTCTGGTGGGTCTAGGTGGTACCATGGTCTGTTGGGTCTAGGTGGTACCATGGTCTGTTGGGTCTGGGTGGTACCATGGTCTGTTGGGTCTGGGTGGTACCATTGGGGGTCTGTTGGGTTCTAGGTGGTACCATGGTCTGGTGGGTCTAGGTGGTACCATGGTCTGTTGGGTCTAGGTGGTACCATGGTCTGTTGGTCTAGGGTGGTACCATGATCTGTTGGGTCGGGTGGTACCATGGATCTGTTGGGGTCTGGGTGTACCATTGGTCTGTTTGGGTCTGGGTGGTACCATGGTCCTGTTGGGTCCTAGGGGGACCATGGTCTGTTTGGGTCTAGGGTGGGTACCATGGTCTGTTGGGTCTGGGTGGTAACCTATGATCTGTTGGGTCTGGGTGGTACCATGGTCTGTTGGGTCTAGGGTGGTAACCATGGTCTGTTGGGTCTAGGGTGGTACCATGGTCTGTTTGGGGTCTAGGGTGGTACCATGGTCTGTTGGGTCTAGGGGTACCATGGGTCTGTTGGGTCTAGGTGGGTACCATGGTCTGTTGGGTCTAGGTGGTACCATGGATCTGTTGGGTCTAGGTGGGTACCCATGATCTGTTTGGGTCTAGGGGGTCCCATGGTCTGTTGGGTCTAGGGGGGTACCCATGGTCTGTTGGGTCTAGGGTGTACCATGGTCTGTTGGGTCTAGGTGGTACCATGATCTGTGGGTCTAGGTGGTACATGGTCTATGGGTCTGGGTGGTACATGGTCGGTTTGGGTCTGGGTGGTACCACGGTCGGTTGGGTCTAGTGGTACCACGGTCTGTTGGGTCTAGGTGGTACCACGGTCTGTTGGGTCTGAGTGGTACCATGGTCTGTTGGGTCTAGCTGGTACCATGGTCTGTTGGGTCTAGGTGGTACCATTGTCTGTTTGGTCTAGGTGGTACCATGGTCTGTTGGGTCTGGGTGGTACCATGGTCTGTTGGGTCTAGGTGGGGTACCATGGTCTGTTGGGTCTGGGTGGTACCATGGTCTGTTGGGTCTAGGTGGTACCATGGTCTGTTGGGTCTGGGTGGTACCATGGTCTGTTGGGTCTAGGTGGTACCATGGTCTGTTGGGTCTAGGTGGTACCATGGTCTGTTGGGTCTAGGTGGTACCATGGTCTGTTGGGTCTGGGTGGTACCATGGTCTGTTGGGTCACGGGTGGTACCATGGTCTGTTGGGTCTGGGTGGTACCATGGTCTGTTGGGTCTAGGTGGTACCATGGTCGGTTGGGTCTGGGTGGTACCATGGTCTGTTGGGTCTGGGTGGTACTATGGTCTGGTGGTTCTAGGTGGTCTCTCTCTCTCACTCCTTCCATGCCTTGCTCTCTCCCCATGTCTCTCTCCCTCTGTCGCCAAAGCCTATTACAGTGTCTTTGATGGTGGGGCATGGTGTTTATCATGGAGGCCTGGTGAAGAGGCTTGTCCGGTACAGTGTGCGATGTCACGACCGCCACCAGCCCTACTGAGCCAGACTGTATCTACTGTCTGTCTCAACCGCAGCTCTCTTCCTGTCTGCCTGCCTCCCTCCTTCTCTCAATCCGTCCCCTGTAGCTCAGTTGGTAGAGCATGGCGCTTGCAACGCCAGGGTTGTTGGTTCGTTTCCAACGGGGGGCCAGTATGAAAATGTATGCACTCACTTAACTGTAAGTCGCTCTGGATAAGAGCGCCTGCTAAATGACAAAAATGTCATCCCTTCTCTTCCCCAGAACTCTATACAGGTTTATGGATGACTTCACTGACTCCTTCATCCCAATGAACTCTGCTCAGTTGTATGATACAGGCCTAGATAATCCTGCCTGCTTTTTCAGATTTAGATCATCCAAAGCTTTCAAGTTATGATGTTGATGTCATGGAATGTATGGCCTGAATGTCCTCCAAACATCCTCCAAAAGAATCACAGTTGTGTACTGGTTCCAATCAACAAGAACTTAGAATAAATAATCTGCTGCTCCAAATTTAGTATTATTTATCTATAAACTGGTTTAGATGCTCCAACATGTAGGCCTAATGAGCTGGTCTGTTTCTCTCCCTTCTGCCCCTGTGTTCCAGACAAGGAGACCCTGATCACTGACAGTGGGAAGCTCCACACACTGGACCTGCTGCTGTGTCGCCTCAAGGCTCAGGGACACCGAGTCCTCATCTACTCACAGATGACTCGCATGATAGACCTACTCGAGGTGAGTAGAGTACAGTAGAATGTAGAGTACAGTAGAATGTAGAGTACAGTAGAATGTAGAGTACAGTAGAATGTAGAGTACAGTAGCATGTAGAGTAGAATGTAGAGTACAGTAGAATGTAGAGTGCAGTAGAATGTAGAGTACAGTAGAATGTAGAGTGGAATGTAGAGTACAGTAGAATGTAGAATGTAGAGTGCAGTAGAATGTAGAGTACAGTAGAATGTAGAGTGCAGTAGAATGTAGAGTACAGTAGCATGTAGAGTAGAATGTAGAGTACAGTAGAATGTAGAGTGCAGTAGAATGTAGAGTACAGTAGAATGTAGAGTGCAGTAGAATGTACAGTGGAATGTAGAGTGCAGTAGAATGTAGAGTGCAGTAGAATGTAGAGTGCAGTAGAATGTAGAGTGCAGTAGAATGTAGAGTGCAGTAGAATGTAGAGTGCAGTAGAATGTAGAGTACAGTAGAATGTAGAGTAGAATGTAGAGTAGAATGTAGAGTACAGTAGAATGTAGAGTACAGTAGAATGTAGAGTGCAGTAGAATGTAGAGTACAGTAGAATGTAGAGTAGAATGTGAGTTACAGTAGAATGGTAATAACAGTAGAATGTAGAGTGCAGTAGAATGTAGAGTGCAGTAGAATGTAGAGTGCAGTAGAATGTAGAGTGCAGTAGAATGTAGAGTGCAGTAGAATGTAGAGTACAGTAGCATGTAGAGTGCAGTAGAATGTAGAGTGCAGTAGAATGTAGAGTGCAGTAGAATGTAGAGTGCAGTAGAATGTAGAGTGCAGTAGAGTGCAGTAGCATGTAGAGTGCAGTAGACATGTAGAGTGCAGTAGAATGTAGAGTGCAGTAGAGTGCAGTAGAATGTAGAGTGCAGTAGAATGTAGAGTGCAGTAGCATGTAGAGTGCAGTAGCATGTAGAGTGCAGTAGAATGTAGAGTGCAGTAGAATGTAGAGTGCAGTAGAGTGCAGTAGCATGTAGAGTGCAGTAGCATGTAGAGTGCAGTAGAATGTAGAGTGCAGTAGAATGTAGAGTACAGTAGCATGTAGAGTGCAGTAGAATGTAGAGTGCAGTAGAATGTAGAGTACAGTAGCATGTAGAGTAGAATGTAGAGTACAGTAGAATGTAGAGTGCAGTAGAATGTAGAGTAGAATGTAGGTGGAATGTAGAGTGCAGTAGAATGTAGAGTACAGTAGCTGTAGAGTAGAATGTAGAGTACGTAGAATTGGTAAGCAATGTAGAGTTACAACTGTAGGATGTAATACAGTAGAATGAGAGTACGTAATTCGAGTCAGTAGAAGTGAGACAGTGTAGAAAATGTAGAGTGCAGTAAATGTAAGTGCAGTAGAATGTAGAGCGTAGGTAGAGACATAAATGTAGATGCAGTAAATGTTAGAGTGCAGTAGAATGTATCAGTAGATTTAGAGTATAATTAGAGTGCAGTGAATGTAGAGTACAAGAATGTGAGTCAGTAGAATTAGATGCAGTAGATAGATCGTAGAATGTTAGTCAGTAGAATGTCAGTCAGTAGAATTTTAAGTAGAATGTTGAGTAGTAGAATGTAGATGCATAGAATGTAGATGCGTAAATGTACGATAAAGAATACAGTAGAATGTAGAGTACAGTAGAATGTAGAAAGTAAATGTAGAGTGCATAAATGTAATCAGTAAATGTAGATCCAGTAAAGTATTAGATGTAAGTATCAGTCATGTGGGATAAAGTGGGAATTTAAGATGTCATAAATGTAGATGCATAGAATGTAGATACTAGTTATCTGAATGTAGATCATAGGTAAACTAATGTAGAGTCTACATGTAGAGTGCAGTAGAATGTAGAGTGCAGTAGAATGTAGAGTCATAGAATGTAGATGCTGAATGTGAGTGCATAGAATGTAGTGACATTAGAGTGCTATGTAAGTGCAGTAGATGTAATGCAGTAAAATTTAATGCTAAGTACAGTAGTGTGATCAGTAAGTAGTGCAGTAGAATGTAGAGGTACAGTAGAATGTAGAGTGCAGTAGAATGTTAGAGTGCAGTAAATGTAGAGTACAGTAGAATGTAGAGTGCAGTAGAATGTAGAAATGTCAGCAGTAGAATGTAGAGTGCAGTAGAATTAGTCAGAATGTAGAGTAGAATGTAGAGTCCCAGTAGTACAGTAGAGTGTCAGTAGAATGTAGAGTGCAGTAGATGTAGAGTGCAGTAGGATGTAGAGTGCAAGTAGAATGTAGGTAGTCTAGATGTAGAGTGCAGTAGGATGTAGAGTGCAGTAGATGTAGAGTGCAGTAAGTACAGTAGACATGTAAGTAATGTAAAAGTACAGTAGAATGTAGAGTACAGTAGAAATGAAAGAGTAAGTACAGTAGCATGTAAGTAGAAGTAGAGTGGTAGATTGAGCAGTAGATTAGAGTGACAGTAGAATGTAGAGTGCAGTAGAATGTAGAGTAGAAATGTAGTAAATGTAGAGTACAGTAGAATGTAGAGTGCAGTAGATGTAGAGTACAGTAGAATGTAGAGTGCAGTAGAATGTAGAGTGCAGTAGAATGTGAGTAATGTAGTACAGTAGAATGTTAGAGTACAGAAATAGATGTAGAGTAGAGTACAGTAGAATGTAGAGTGGCAGTAGAATGTAGAGTTGCAGTAGAATGTAGAGTGCAGTAGAATGTAGAGTGCAGTAGAATGTAGAGTGCAGTAGCATGTAGAGTGCAGTAGAATGTAGAGTGCAGTAGAATGTAGAGTGCAGTAGAATGTAGAGTGCAGTAGAATGTAGAGTACAGTAGAATGTAGAGTGCAGTAGAATGTAGAGTACAGTAGAATGTAGAGTGCAGTAGAATGTAGAGTGCAGTAGAATGTAGAGTGCAGTAGAATGTAGAGTACAGTAGAATGTAGAGTGCAGTAGAATGTAGAGTACAGTAGAATGTAGAGTGCAGTAGAATGTAGAGTGCAGTAGAATGTAGAGTGCAGTAGAATGTAGAGTGCAGTAGAATGTAGAGTGCAGTAGATGTAGAGTACAGTAGAATGTAGAGTGCAGTAGCATGTAGAGTGCAGTAGAATGTAGAGTGCATAGAATGTAAGTACAGTAGAATGTAGAGTGCAGTAGAATGTACAGTAGAATGTAGAGTGCAGTAGGATGTAGAGTACAGTAGATGTAAGTACAGTAGAATGTAGAGTGCAGTAGAATGTAGAAAAGTAAGTAGTAATGTAAAGTGCAGTAGAATGTAGAGTGCAGTAGAATTAGAGTGCAGTAGAATGTAGAGTAGAAATGTAGTCTAGATGTGAGTCAGTAGAATGTAGAGTACAGTAGAATGTAGAGTCAGTAGAATGTAGAGTCAGTAGAATGTAGAGTGCAGTAAAATTTACAGTAGAATGTACAGTAGAGTTAGTCGTAGAAGTAGTAGATGGTAGAGTACAGTAGAATGTAGAGTGCAGTAGAATGTACAGTAGAATGTAGGTGTACAGTACGTAGAATGTAAGTGAGTAATGTACATAATTAGAGTACAGTAGATGTAGAGTACAGTAGTAATCAGTAAAATGTAGTGCAGTAGAATGTAAGTGCAGTAGAATGTAAGTACAGTAGAATGTAGTGTACAGTAGAATGTACAGTAGAATGTAGAGTGCAGTAGGATGTTGAGTACAGTAGAATGTAGAGTGCAGTAGAATGTACAGTAGAATGTAGTGTACAGTAGAATGTACAGTAGAATGTAGAGTGCAGTAGAATGTACAGTAGGATGTAGAGTACAGTAGGATGTAAAGTGCAGTAGAATGTAGAGTGCAGTAGATGCAGTAGAATTAGAGTGCAGTAGAATGTAGAGTGCATGTAGAGTACGTAGAGTAAAGTGCAGTAGAATGTAGAGTAGAATGTAGACTACAGTAGATGTACAGTAGGATGTAGAGTGCAGTAGAGTGCAGTAGAATGTAGAGTGCAGTAGAATGTAGAGTGCAGTAGAGTGCAGTAGAATGTAGAGTGCAGTAGGATGTAGAGTGCAGTAGGATGTAGAGTGCAGTAGCATGTAGAGTGCAGTAGAGTGCAGTAGAGTAGAGTGCAGAATGTAGAGTGCAGTAGAGTGTAGAAGTGGGCAGTAGATGTAGAGTGCAGTAGGATGTAGAGTGCAGTAGCATGTGAGTGCAGTAGAGTGTAAAATGTAGAGTGCAATGTACAGTAAAAGTGAGTAGCATGTAGAGTGCAGTAGCATGTAGAGTAGTAGTCAGTAGAATGTAGAGTAGCAGTAAATGTAGAGTGAGTAGAATGTAGAGTGGAGTAGAATGTAGAGGCTGTAGAGTGCAGTAGAATGTAGGAGTGTCAGTAGAATGTAGAGTGCAGGTTAAGAAATTGTAGAGTGCAGTAGAATGTAAGTAGATGTAGAGTGCAGTAGGATTTAGAGTGCAGTAGGATGTAGAGTGCAATAGAATGTGAGTGCGTAGATGTAGAGTGCAGGTAGAATGTAGAGTGCAGTAGATGTAGAGTGCAGTAGCATGTAGAGTGCAGTAGAATGTAGAGTGGATAGTACGGTGGACTCCAGGGTCGCTCATTACTGTAAGGAGACATCATGGTCGTCAGTGCTGGACCCCAGTCGGTGTGAGAGCATCCCAGAAACAGTGAATCCTGGCCTGTAATTCTCAAAGCATATCAGAGTAGGACTGCTGATATCCAGGAAATCAGGTCCCCCCCAATCCATTCAATCTGAAACGGATTGATCCTGGGTCAGCACTCCTTGGACTGGGACGCTTTATGAATACGAGCCTTGACATTTGAAAAACTAAGATAGACTATATATACAAAAGTATGTGGACACCCCTTCAAATTAGTGGATTCTATTTCAGCTACACCTGTTGCTGACAGGTGTATAAAATCGAGCACACCGCCATGCAATCTCCATTGACAAACATTGGCAGTAGACTGACCTTACTGAAGAGCTCAGTGACTTTCAACGTGGCACCGTCATAGGATGCCACCTTTCCAACAAGTCAGTTTGTCACATTTCTGCCCTGCTAGAGCTGCCCCTGTCGACTGTAAGTGCTGTTATTGTGACGTGGAAACGTCTAGGAGCAACAACGGCTCAGCCGCGAAGTGGTAGGCCACACAAGCTCACAGAACAGTACCGCCGAGTGCTGAAGCACGTAGCACGTACAAATCGTCTGTCCTCGGTTCCAACACTCACTAACGAGTTCCAAACTGCCTCTGGAAGCAACGTCAGCACAAGAACTGTTCGTTGGGAGCTTCATGAAATGGGTTTTCATGGCCGAGCAGCCGCACACAAACCTAAGATCACCATGCTCAATGCCAAGCGTCGGCTGGAGTGGTGTAAAGCTCGCCGCCATTGGACTCTGGAGCAGTGGAAACGGGTTCTCTGGAGTGATGAATCATGCTTCCATCTGGCAGTCCGACCGACAAATCTGGGTTTGGCGGATGCCAAGAGAACGCTACCTGCCCCAATGCATAGTGCCAACTGTAAAGTTTGGTGAAGGAGGAGTAATGGTCTGGGGCTGTTTTTCATGGTTCGGGCTATGCCCCTTAGTTCCAGTGAAGGGAAATCTTAATGCTACAGCATACAATTACATTCTAGAGGATTCTGCACTTCCAACTGTGTGGCAACATTTTGGGGAAGGCCCATTCCTGTTTCAGCATGACAATGCCCCCGTGCACAAAGCGAGGTCCATACAGAAATGGTTTGTCGATCTGTGTGGAAGAACTTGACTGGCCTGCACAGAGCCCTGACCTCAACCCCATCGAACACCTTTGGGATGAATTGGAACGCCGACTGCGAGCCAGGCCTAATCGCCCAACATCAGTGTCCGACCTCACTAATGTCCCCGCAGCAACGTTCCAACATCTAGTGGAAAGATTTCCCAGAAGAGGCCGTTATAGCAGTAAAAGGGGGGACCAACTCCATATTAATGCCCGTGGTTTTGGAATGAGATGTTGGATGAGCAGGTGTCCACATACTTTTGGTAATGTAGGGTATGTGTTGTAGATCTGTCTCACCACTAGGGGGAGCACAGGTACAGCTGGTTGCCCTGATCATCCTGTACCTCGTTATAGAGGGACTACCTCGTTATAGAGGGACTACGTCGTTATAGAGGGACTACCTCGTTATAGAGAGACTACCTCGTTATAGAGAGACTACCTCGTTATAGAGGGACTACGTCGTTATAGAGGGACTACCTCGTTATAGAGGGACTACCTCGTTATAGAGGGACTACGTCGTTATAGAGGGACTACGTCGTTATAGAGGGACTACGTCGTTATAGAGGGACTACGTCGTTATAGAGGGACTACGTTGTTATAGAGGGACTACGTTGTTATAGAGGGACTACGTTGTTATAGAGAGACTACCTCGTTATAGAGGGACTACCTCGTTATAGAGGGACTACCTCGTTGTAGAGGGACTACGTCGTTGTAGAGGGACTACCTCGTTGTAGAGGGACTACCTCGTTATAGAGGGACTACCTCGTTATAGAGAGACTCTCTCTTGGAAAGGATGTGTGGGCAATGGGGTGAGGAAAAATAGATGCATGGAGAAAACAAAAGCACTTGGAGAAAAAGAAAGAGGGATCAAGCGAGAAAGAGAAGTAGTTTATTTGTGGCGTGTGGAAAGGTCTCTTGTTGAGCTGAAAGCGTGGGAACTGCCAGGGTGCTTCCAGCATTACAGCATTCTGCCCTCTGTACAACAATAGCATTCAGTCACTCCTGGTCCTCATTCTTTATAGCTCTATCGCTATTGTTGCCCCACACACACACAAACACACACACACACCACACACACACACACACACACACACACACACACACAAACGTGGACACAATTACCACTTTTATTCTGTAAGGCAGAACTTCCGTGGCGTGAAGTCATTGTAATTCTTCCTCCATTCTCTCATAGTTGGTCTTGTTCCATAGTGAGGTAGTCCGTTCCGTAGTGATGTAGTCCGTTCTGTAGTGAATTAGTCCGTTCTGTAGTGAGGTAGTCCGTTCCGTAGTGAAGTAGTCCGTTCCGTAGTGAGGTAGTCCGTTCCGTAGTGAAGTAGTCCGTTCCGTAGTGAGGTAGTCCGTTCCGTAGTGATGTAGTCCGTTCTGTAGTGAAGTAGTCCGTTCTGTAGTGAGGTAGTCCGTTCCGTAGTGAAGTAGTCCGTTCTGTAGTGAGGTAGTCCGTTCCGTAGTGAGGTAGTCCGTTCCGTAGTGAGGTAGTCCGTTCTGTAGTGAAGTAGTCCGTTCTGTAGTGAGGTAGTCCGTTCCGTAGTGAGGTAGTCCGTTCCGTAGTGAGGTAGTCCGTTCCGTAGTGAGGTAGTCCGTTCCGTAGTGAGGTAGTCCGTTCCGTGTTGAGGTAGTCCGTTCCGTGGTGAGGTAGTGTGTTCTGTAGTGAGGTAGTCCGTTCCGTAGTGAGGTAGTCCGTTCCGTGTTGAGGTAGTCCGTTCCGTGGTGAGGTAGTCCGTTCCGTAGTGAGGCAGTCCGTTCCGTGTTGAGGTAGTCCGTTCCGTGGTGCACACAGTGAGTGCATGCAGCTTGTGACTTGTTAAGCACATTTTTACTCCTGAATTTTAGGCTTGCCATAACAAAGGGGTTGAATACTTTTCATTTTTAATTAATTTGTAATAATTTCTAAAAACATAATTCCACTTTGACATTATGGGGTATTGTGTGTAGGCCAGTGACACAAAATCTCAATCTAATCCATTTTAAATTCAGGTTGTAACACAACAAAATGTGTGAAAAAGTCAAGGCGTGAACGCTTTCTGAAGGCACTGTACCTCGCGAAGCAACTGCTTTCTATCACTCTCGATCTTCTCTCTTTCTCTGTGTCTTCCCCCACACTAACCTAACATAGCAGGCGTAAAAGAAACACACAGACCGGACAAGTAGGTGCGCAATGGATTATGGTCATTGTAGTTAATTCCCACGTTTTCTGCACTAAACTATGTAGAATATTGGCCTGTTGGAAACTACAACTCCCTAATACATCGCACAGTTTGGCCTTGATCTGATTTATCTCTAGAGAAACTGCACATTGAGATCACAGAAGAAGAAAAACGAACGAAATGGAATTCAAATAATTGAACCGACGTCAGTTAATTAGTTGTTTAAAAATAACCGACATTTCAGTTAATCGCTCAGCACTAGGAGATGGAGATCAACACATTACCTTACCACCAGACTATTTATAGACTAGACTTCATAAGCTAAAGAGTTAAGGGCAATGCCCTAAAACAGATCCCTGGGTAACCCCCATTGTACTCACACTGGCCCCTGAGCTACATAGAGGAACAAAGAGGTCAGTAAATACTTTTTGGTGACCAATATGTTGAGGTTTTTCCCACCACTTATAGTAAAACGTAGTAAAACTAGCATTTGACATGAGACTAAATCAGTGTCCACTCATGAACTGTCAGAGCATCCCAAGGTGGGCCAGTGCTGTTGCAAGGGCCAGAGGTCGAGATATAATGGAATAGAGGTGTGTTTCTTAACCAATGTTAGCACCGGGGACAGGCTTGCTATGCTGGGGTTATGCCCTGTGCGTAGACTGCGGACCATTAAAAGGAAAGCTAACACTTGGAATCATATTATTTTGGTGTCCCCTCACACACTGAGGGAGCGTTCAGCAACAACATAACGAAATGACTGAAGGACTGTCTGACCAGGTCAGGCATTAGCAACGTCCCATGGACCTGAGATTGAGAAACAGTTATATAGATTAATATCCTGTGGCGTGGATGAGTGGACTCCAAACCTGTAGTCTGTGGTTTGATGTTCTGTGTTGTGGCCTACTTCAAGCTGTCTGAGTTCTCTTGTGTCATCGAGGGAGTGGAGAAAACCTCTGGTCAGGACCAGGCTGTCTCAAGCTGGGGCCCAAAGGCACTTAAGGCCACAGTGATTTCACAGTCGACGCAAACAGAGCTACGGATCTCAAAACTTCAGCCACACAAAAGTATTTAGAACTACGTAGAGAGCTACGCAAACAAACCTCTGTTGGATCCGTTGCGTAGACTGGGTAAAGCCCTTTAGCTGTTAGTTGACCCTGCAGGGGTCTTCCTCCTTAGAGGATAATTAGAATAACCCTTTAGCTGTTAGTTGACCCTGCAGGGGGTCTTCCTCCTTAGAGGACCGTTAGAATAAAAACCAGCTGTTGGAAACCAAGTCATTTGCTGTCAGCTCGCTGACTGAGGGACAGATCAGCAACATCCCATGGAGCGGAGGAGGTTGAGAAATAAAACATTGGTTGTGTACTTCCAAACCTGTGGTCCCCAAGTGTTGCACTGTGAACCACATGCAGCTTTCCGAGTTCTCTCATGACCCATTGAGTGAAAGAGAAACCAAGACATCTCTTGCCAGGTCCCAGACTCTAGCTGTGACCCAAAAGGACTTAACTGCCCTATCATCGTCTCTCTCCATTCCAGTTGTTCCTAGATATTCTGTGTTGTGGCCCACTTCAAGCTTTCTGAGTTCTCCTGTGACTCAACAATAGCCAGGAATAAGCTAGTATCTTAAAACCCTTTATCTCCTTCCCTCATTCTCTCTCTCTCTTCTCATCTCTCTCTCTCTCTCTCACTCTCTCCCTCTCTCTGCCAATTCTCTCGGATCTCTCTAAGAACCTCCTGCCTCGACCCTCCCATCTCTCAGCTCTGAGCTACCCTCCTGCCCGGCGCGACCGAGCGTCTTCCTCTCTCGCGTCACCTCATCTTGAGGTCGACGTATTCTGTCTCTCTCTCTCTACCTTCGTCTCTTCTCTCCTCTTTCGTGCATCTCTCTCCTCTAACTCGTCTCGGTTCTCCCTCTCTCTCTCCTCCAGGAGTACATGGTGTATCGTAAACACACCTACATGCGTCTGGATGGCTCCTCCAAGATCTCAGAACGCAGAGACATGGTGGCTGACTTCCAGAGCCGGTGAGTAGACTGTGTGTAGTCTCTTCTTAGTGTAAATCCTCAGTGGTGTAGACTATTGGCTGTGGACGGTTTGGTCTCACTCCTGTTTGTCTGTATCCTGCCTGTTTCTGTGTGTTCTGGTTTGCATTAGTTCTGTTCTCTGTGGGCCTTTTGGCGCTCTGCTTCTGGTTGTGGTGAACGTATGCTACATTGAAGGTGTTGGAGGGCCGGTAGGAGGCACTCTTTCATCTGGTCAAAAAACAATATCCCAATGCCCCAGGGCAGGACATTGCCCTGTGTAGGGTGCCGTGTTTCTTGTTGGGCGTTAAACGGGTGTCCTGACTCTGGTCACTAAAGATCCCTTGGCACTTATCGTAAGAGTCGGAGTGTTAACCCCGGTGTCCTGGCTAAATTCCCAATCTGACCCTCATACCATCATGGCCACGTAATCATCCCCAGCTTCCAATTGGCTCATTCATCCCCCCTCCTCTCCCCTGTAACTATTCCCCAGGTCGTTGCTGTTAATGAGAATGTGTTCTCAGTCAACTTACCTGGTCAAATAAGGGTATTTTTTTAAAAGTAATGTTCTTCCTCTTTCCTCCCTCTCTCAGGACTGATATCTTTGTGTTCCTCCTGAGTACGAGGGCTGGAGGTCTGGGCATCAACCTGACTGCTGCTGACACTGTGAGTCACTCTGTCTGCTTCTCTCTCATCCACTTAAAGTGGAGCCATTTAAAATACAGCGCCTTCGGAAAGTATTCAGATACCCTTGCTTTTTCCATATTTTGTTACCTTACAGCCTTATTCCAACATTTATTAAATTGTTTTTTTCCCCCCCCTCATCCATCTACACACAATACCTCATAATGACAAAGCAAAAACTGGTTTTTAGAAATGTTTTACAAATGTATTAAAAATAAAAAACGGATATCATATTTCCATAAGTATTCAGACCTTTACTCAGTACTTTGTTGAAGCACCTTTGGCAGCGATTACAGCCTCGAGTCTTCTTGGGTATGACGCTACAAGCTTGACACACCTGTATTTGGGGAGTTTCTCCCAATTCTTCTCTGCAGATCCTCTCAAGCTCTGTCAGATTGGATGGGGAGCATCGCTGCACAGCTATCTTCAGTTCTCTCCAGAAATGTTAGATCAGGTTTAAGTCCGGGCTCTGGCTGGGCCACTCTAAGGACATTCAGAAACTTGTCCCGAAGCCACTCCTGCGTTGTCTTGGCTGTGTGCTTAGGGTCGTTGTCCTGTTGGAAGGTGAACCTTCGCCCCAGTCTGAGGTCCTGAGTGCTCTGGAGCAGGTTTTCATCAACGATCTCTCTGTATTTTGCTCTGTTCATCTTTCCCTCAATCCTGACCAGTCTCCCAGTCCCTGCCGCTGAAAAACATCCCCACAGCATGATGCTGCCACCACCATGCTTCACCATAGAGATGGTGCCAGGTTTCCTCCAGATTCAGGCCAAAGAGTGCAATCTTGGTTTCATCAGACCAGAGAATCTTGTTTCTCATGGTCTGAGAGTCTTTTAAGGTGCCTTTTGGCAAACTCCAAGCGGGTTGACATGTGCCTTTTACTGAGGAGAGGCTTCTGTCTGGCCACTTTACCATAAAGGCCTAATTGGTGGAGTGCTGCAGAGATGGTTGTCCTTCTGGAAGGTTCTCCCATCTCCACAGAGGAACTCTGGAGCTCTGTCAGAGTGACCATCGGGTTCTTGGTCACCTCCCTGACCAAGGCCCTTCTCCCCCGATTGCTCAGTTTGGCCGGGCGGCCAGCTCTAGGAAGAGGCTTGGTGGTTCCAAACTTCTTCCATTTAAAGATGATGGAGGCCACTGTGTTCTAGGGAACCTTCAATGCTGAAAAAAAATGTTGGTACCCTTCCCCAGATCTGTACCTCGACACAATCCTGTCTCGGAGCTCTACGGACAATTCCTTCGACCTCATTGCTTGGTTTTTGCTCTGACATGCACTGTCAACTGTGGGACCTTATATAGACAGGTGTGTGCCTTTCCAAATCATGTCCAATCAATTTAATTTACCACAGGTGGACTCCAATCAAGTTTGCAGAAACTCTCAAGGATGATCAATGGAAACAGATACACCTGAGCCGCAATTTCAAGTCTCATAGCAAAGGGTCTGAATACTTATGTAAATAAGGTATTCGTTTTTTATGTTAAATAAATTTGCAAAGATGTCTAAAAACCTGTTTTCACTTTGTCATTATGGGGTATTGTGTGTAGATTGATGAAGATTTTTATTTATTTAATCAATTTTACAATAAAGCTGTAACGTAACAAAATGTTGAAAATGGGGTCCGAATACTTTCCAAATGCAGTGTATGTATGTTTAAATAAGCTGCTATAAATATTTCTCCAAACAGAGGCCTGTATGGCTGTATAACTGTTTTCCCCAGCTGATTTTCTAGGGGGCTGTGAGTAATTATGTATGCACGCATGACTGTAAGTTCGCTTTGGATAAAAGCGTCTGCTAAATGGCAATATTATTATTATATTTATATAATTATAATTTGCCCTCTTCCACTCCTCCCCCCTCCTTCCCTCTTTCGCTCTCCCCCTCCCTCTCTCCCCCTCTCTTTCGCTCTCCCCTCTCCCTCCCCCCCCCCTCCTCTCCCCATCTCCCCCTCCCTCCCACCTCTCCCCTCTCTCCCCCTCGTTTTCTCCTCTCCCCCTCCCCTCTCTCTTCCCCCTCTCGTCCCTTCTCCCTCTCCCCCTCTCCCTCTCACCGCTCTCTGCTCTCTCCCTCTCCCCCTCGATCCACGTCCCCCCTCCGTCTGCTCACGACTCTCTCCTCTCTCTCTTTCTCTCTTCTCCTCCCCTCTTCTCCCTCTCCTCTCCGCCCTCTCTCTGTCCCCGTCTCTCTCTCCCCCCTCTCTCTCTCCCCTCCTCCCTCTCTCTCCCCCATCTCTCCCCTCTGTCGCCCCTCCCTCCTCGCCAGCATCGCCGCGCCCGTCTCCTCCTCTCATCATCCCATCCCCCCCTCCAGAAACAGAAAGCAAAAATAACCTCTGCATCCCGCCGTCTCCCCCTCCCTCTCGTCTCTTTCTCCCTCTCCCCTCCGCTGCTATCCCCCTCGCGCCTCTCCCCGTCTCCCTCTCTCGCTCTAGGTGATCTTCTATGACAGTGACTGGAACCCCACAGTGGACCAGCAGGCGATGGACAGAGCTCACCGCCTGGGTCAGACCAAGCAGGTCACTGTGTACCGTCTCATCTGTCAGCTCACTATAGAGGAGAGGATACTGCAGAGGGCCAAGGAGAAGAGTGAGGTGAGACACTCACACATACAGACATACACACACTACTTTGGGTCAAGAAGAAATGGAGCTCACAGTACTGACATCCAACAGGATTTAATACGATGCTTTGAACAGTACTGACATCCTACAGGATTTAATACGATGCTCTGAACGGTACTGACATCCTACAGGATTTAATACTATGCTCTGAACGGTCACTAATTACGTTGCTCTGAACGGTTGACATTCCTACCGGCTTTAATACGATGCTCTGAACGGTACTGACATCCTACAGGATTTAATACGATGCTCTGAACGGTACTGACATCCAACAGGATTTAATACGATGCTCCGAACAGTTTCTATTTTCTCACAGCTTTCTATCCTTTTTAGAGAGAGAACCCAAAGGCCTTGGTCCTAGTTAACCCTTTGTAACCCTGTGTCCCTCTCTCTCCCCCCATCAGATCCAGAGGATGGTGATCTCCGGGGGTAACTTTAAACCAGACACCCTGAAGCCTAAAGAGGTGGTCAGTCTGCTGTTGGATGACGAGGAGCTGGAGAAGAGACGTGAGGGGACTTTTCAGAAATGTGATTGGTTGCTGTGTTCGTGTGAGAGCCTGTTACTGATACCTCTGTATTGTGTCCTGCAGTGCGTGTTCGTCAGGAGGAGAAGAGACAACAGGAGGAGTGCAGCAAGGTGAAGGACCGCAAGAGGAAGAGAGAGAAATACGCTGACAAGGTACTAATGTCACCCTAATGTCACTTTAATGTCACTTTGTCACCCTAATGTCAATTTGTCACTTTAATGTCACCATTATGTCACCCTAATGTCAATTTGTCACCCTTATGTCACCCTAATGTCACCCTTATGTCACCCTAATGTCACCCTGTCACTTTAATGTCACCCTTATGTCACCCTAATGTCATCCTAGTGTCACCCTTATGTCACCCTAATGTCACCCTAGTGTCACCCTAATGTCACCCTAGTGTCACCCTTATGTCATCCTAGTGTCACCCTTATGTCACCCTAATGTCACCCTTATGTCAACATAATGTCACCCTAATGTCACGCCTTTTTAATGCTTGCTTTTTAAAGAATACACATACAGTGCATTCAGAAAGTATTCAGACTGATTTACTTTTTCCACATTTTGTTAGGTTACAGCCTTATTCTAAAATTGATTAAATTGTTATTTCTCATCAATCTACACACAATACCCCATAATGACAAAGCAAAAACTGGTTTTTAGAAAGTTTTGCAAATGTATTAAAAATAAACAACTGAACTATCACATTTACATAAGTATTCAGACCCTTTACTCAGTATTTTGTTGAATACCTTTGTCAGCGATTACAGCCTCAAGTCTTCTTGGGTATGGCGCTACAAGCTTGGCACACCTGTATTTGGGGAGTTTCTCCCATTCTTCTCTGCAGGTCCTCTCAAGCTCTGTCAGGTTGGATGGGGAGTGTCGCTGTACAGTTATTTTCAGTTCTCTCCAGAGATGTTCGATCAGGTTTAAGTCCGGGCTCTGGCTGGGCCACTCAAGGACATTCAGAGACTTGTCCCGAAGCCACTCCTGCGTTGTCTTGGCTGTGTGCATAGGGTCGTTGACCTGTTGGAAGGTGAACCTTCGCCCCAGTCTGAGGTCCTGAGTGCTCTTTGCTCTGTTCATCTTTCCCTCGATCCTGCCTAGTCTCCCAGTCCCTGCCGCTGAAAAACATCTCCACATCATGATGCTGCCACCACCATGCTTCACCGTAGGGATGATGCCAGGTTTCCTCTAGCTGTGACGTTTGGCATTCAGGCCAAAGAGTTCAATCTTGGTTTCATCAGACCAGAGAATCTTGTTTCTCATGGTCTGAGAGTCCTTTAAGTGCCTTTTGGCAAACTCCAACGGGCTGTCATGTGCCTTTTACTGAGGAGTGGCTTCCGTCTGGCCACTCTACCATAAAGGCCTGATTGGTGGAGTGCTGCAGAGATGGTTGTCCTTCTGGAAGGTTCTCCCATCTCCACAGAGGAACTCTGGAGCTCTGTCAGAGTGACCATTGGGTTCTTGGTCACCTCCCTGACCAAGGCCTTTATCCCCCGATTGCTCAGTTTGGCCAGGCGGCCAGCTCTAGGAAGAGTCTTGGTGGTCCCAAACTTCTTCAATTTAAGAATGATGGAGGCCGCTGTGTTCTTGGGGACCTTCAATGCTGCAAAAAAATGTTGGTACCCTTCCCCAGATCTGTGCCTCGACACAATCCTGTCTCGGAGCTCTACGGACAATTCCTTCGACCTCATTGTTTGGTTTTGCTCTGACATGCACTGTCAACTGTGGGACCTTATATAGACAGGTGTGTGCCTTTCCAAATCATGTCCAATCAATTGAATTGACCAAAGGTGGACTCCAATGAAGTTGCAGAAACATCTCAAGGATGATCAATGGAAACAGGATACACCTGAGCTCAATTTCAAGTCTCATAGCAAAGGGTCTCAAAACCTATGTAAATAAAGTATTTCTGTTTTTTTATTTGTAATAAATTAGCACACACAACAAAATCTGTTTTTGCTTTGTCATAATGGGGATTTTTATTTATTTAATCAATTTTAGAATAAGCCTGTAACATAACAAAATGTGGAAAAAGTCAAGGGGTCTGAATACTTTCCGAATGAACTGTATATGACATATCAGGGACATATTATTGTTCCCGACAACACCTCAAAGAGAAAAAAATATATATAATGCTTATTTATTAGTTAGAGAAGAACATTGGGGCTTTAATCCCAGAACTACTCACATCAAAGAGCATTACAGCACGGTGCCCCCCCTTACAGAGGGAAGAGCAGGAAGCCACTGAAGATGCTGTGGTTATCCCCATTGTCAAAGATACCTTCAGGGAGATGCACAGAAACCCTACCTCCCACTTCCAGCTCAAAAATTAATGCATTGGATATGGAAGTTTGACCCTCCCCACTATTGCCTTCCCCAATCAACACAACTTGTTGTCCATTCTGGTCAAGGCATACAGTCGTGTATCCCCCACTGTAATTATCACTGATGCTGTGACTCTATAAACTCTTCCACTGATGGCTGTGACCTCCGTATAGACTCTACTGTCTGCCCAAGTCCATCAGATTCCAAGTTCCACCTTACTCCTATAACCCCACTCCCCCTCCCCCTCGCCCCCCCCCCCCTCTCTCGTCTCTCCCCTCCTCTCGTCTCTCCTCCCTGCCTCTCTCTCTCTCTCTCCCCTCTCCCTCGCTCCCACTCTCTACTCTCATCACCCCCTCCTCCACCCTCATCTCACACATCCCTCCTCACCATCAACACCCCTCTCCTCACCCCTCCCATCTCTCCCCTCTCCCTCCTCCCCCTCACTCCCTCCCACCCCTCTCTCCCCTCGTCTCCGTCTCTCCAGAAAACTCTCCCTCTACCCCCCTCCCTCTCCCTCTCCCCGTCCCCCCCTCAAACTACTCCCACCCGTCCCGCAAAGCCCCGCCAGCACTCGTCAACCTCTCGCTCCCCCTCCCCTCTCCTCCCCCTCCCTCTCTCTCTCTCCCCCCCCTCCCTCTCTCTCTCCCCCTCCCTCTCTCTCTCTCTCTCTCTCTCTCCCCCCCTCTCTCTCTCCATACAGAGAAAGAAGGATGACGAGGATCCTAAGAGGAGGAAAGAAGTGAACCTGGTCATCCCTTACATCCCGTCTGCAGACAACTCTAACCTCTCAGCCGATGGAGATGATTCATTCATCAGTGTAGACATGGACGACTCTGCCATGCCCAGCCCCTTCAGCGAGGTGAGAGATGGAGGAGCGAGTGGGAGGGAGGTTAGATTTGCTGCATCTGTAAACTCTGAACTTACTGCTTCTATTCCTCCTTCTCTGGACTGGTCTTCCCTCTATATCTTGTCTCCGTTGTGGACTCTGCTATTCCCTTTCTCCTCCTACTTTTATCCCTTCTCCTCCTCCTCTCTCTCCACCTCCTTTGTGCCCCCTTCTTGGCATTCCTGCCTCCTCTACCGGCCCCTCTCCCCTCCCGGCCCCTCCCCTCTCCCCTCCCGGCCCCTCCCCTCTCGGCCCCTCCCCTCTCCTGGCCCTTCTCCTCTCCTCTCCCGGCCCCTCTCCCCTCCCGGCCCCTCTCCCCTCCCGGCCCCTCTCCTCTCCCGACCCCTTTCTTCTTCTCTTCTTCCTCCTTCTCTGCCTCCCTTGAGGCCCTGTGCCCCTCTCTTCCTCCTCCTCCTCCTCCTCCACCCTAACCCCCAGGTGTGTGCGTCTCTCCTCTCTCTCCCTGGTCAGATCTCTCTGAGTAGTGAGCTCCAGCCCAGCTCCCTGCCTCCAGACCATGACCCAGACCAGGACCCAGACCCAGACCAGGACGAGAGCAGCAGTGACATGCTAGTCATCGTAGACGACCCTGTGTCTTCAGCACCTCAGTCCAGAGCCACCAACTCACCTGTCAGCGTGTCTGGATCCATGTCGGACAACATGAACGGTAAGAGGAGGATAGTTAATCAATCCTCAGGCAATCAATTAAAGAATCAGTCCGTCGGTCAGTTAGGCAATCAGTGAACACAGGACTGATTGTGATAGAGCCAGTTAATTGATTGATCAGTCATCAATTAATTTGTCAATCAGTCAATCAATGAACATCCGAGTGATTGTAGTACTTGAAGCTATCCTGTACAACGTGGGTGGTCCGTGTTTTGTGATTAGGTGATATGTGTTCAACTCGAAGACAAAGGTTCTTAAAAGGTCAAGTTATGAATCATGCATTGTGAATCACATACAATCGTAAACAACAGTACGTAGTAGTGATGATGTCAGTCAGAAGAGGTAAACAACAGTACGTAGTAGTGATGATGTCAGTCAGAAGAGGTAAACAACAGTACGTGGTAGTGATGATGTCAGTCAGAAGAGGTAAACAACAGTACGTAGTAGTGATGATGTCAGTCAGAAGAGGTAAACAACAGTACGTAGTAGTGATGATGTCAGTCAGAAGAGGTAAACAACAGTACGTAGTAGTGATGATGTCAGTCAGAAGAGGTAAACAACAGTACGTGGTAGTGATGATGTCAGTCAGAAGAGGTAAACAACAGTACGTAGTAGTGATGATGTCAGTCAGAAGAGGTAAACAACAGTACGTAGTAGTGATGATGTCAGTCAGAAGAGGTAAACAACAGTACGTAGTAGTGATGATGTCAGTCAGAAGAGGTAAACAACAGTACGTAGTAGTGATGATGTCAGTCAGAAGAGGTAAACAACAGTACGTAGTAGTGATGATGTCAGTCAGAAGAGGTAAACAACAGTACGTAGTAGTGATGATGTCAGTCAGAAGAGGTAAACAACAGTACGTAGTAGTGATGATGTCAGTCAGAAGAGGTAAACAACAGTACGTAGTAGTGATGATGTCAGTCAGAAGAGGTAAACAACAGTACGTAGTAGTAGAGGTAGGTCCTATTCAGTGTGACTGGGCTAGCTGAAGGTGACGTTCTCCTCCTTATTTAGAACACAGTAGTATTATGTCTGATAGAGAGAACAGTATATGCATACAATACCTGATTATTTGAGCCGGTAGCTTAGTGGTTAAGAGCGTTGTGCCAGTAACCGAAAGGTCGCTGGTTCTAATCCCCGAGCCGACTAGGTGAAAAATCTGTCGCTGTGCCCTTGAGCAAGGCACTTAACCCTAATTGCTCATGTAAATCGCTCTGGATAAGAGCGTCTGCTAAATGACTAAAATGTAAATGTAAAGAATTTGCTGAAAGCTATGAAGAATAACTCAGAAATGTGATTTACAGTGCTCACAGTTTGCTGTTAGGTCCATTATGTCCCTAGGCCTATGTTCCTGTTAGATTGTGTTTTCTGTCCAATGGTTTCTTGGAAGAACTAGGTCCATTAATGTGGTTTAAAATCTGACCCATCTGAAGTACTTTCAAAGTCTCTTGTGACCCACCTGATCAGTAAAACAATATTTCATACTAGCATTAATGATTTAGCTGCTTTAGTTCTGGCCCAGGAGAATCTAGCTAACCCCAATCCTCCTTTTGGGAAACGGTACATTCAGTACCAGTCCCACAATAACACATTCTAGAAAATAAAGTTGAGTTGTCATGGTGATGTGTGTGTGCCAACAGAATGAGTAATGACTCTGTGCTAATGAGATGAGGGCTGTAGTGTAGTCCACTGGGCTGGGGGTTGAGGTTTAGGGACTAGATGGGGGCTGTAGTGTTGTCCGCTGGGCTGGGGGTTGGGAACTAGGGACTAGATGGGGGCTGTAGTGTAGTCCACTGGGCTGGGGGTTGGGAACTAGGGACTAGATGGGGGCTGTAGTGTAGTCCACTGGGCTGGGGGTTGGGAACTAGGGACTAGATGGGGGCTGTAGTGTAGTCCACTGGGCTGGGGGTTGAGGTTTAGGGACTAGATGGGGGCTGTAGTGTAGTCCACTGGGCTGGGGGTTGGGAACTAGGGACTAGATGGGGGCTGTAGTGTAGTCCACTGGGCTGGGGGTTGAGGTTTAGGGATTAGATGGGGGCTGTAGTGTAGTCCACTGGGCTGGGGGTTGGGAACTAGGGACTAGATGGGGGCTGTAGTGTAGTCCACTGGGGGTTGAGGTTTAGGGATTAGATGGGGGCTGTAGTGTAGTCCACTGGGCTGGGGGTTGAGGTTTAGGGACTAGATGGGGGCTGTAGTGTAGTCCACTGGGGGTTGAGGTTTAGGGACTAGATGGGGGCTGTAGTGTAGTCCACTGGGGGGTTGAGGTTTAGGGACTAGATGGGGGCTGTAGTGTAGTCCACTGGGCTGGGGGTTGAGGTTTAGGGACTAGATGGGGGCTGTAGTGTAGTCCACTGGGGGTTGAGGTTTAGGGATTAGATGGGGGCTGTAGTGTAGTCCACTGGGCTGGGGGTTGGGAACTAGGGACTAGATGGGGGCTGTAGTGTAGTCCACTGGGGGTTGAGGTTTAGGGACTAGATGGGGGCTGTAGTGTAGTCCACTGGGCTGGGGGTTGAGGTTTAGGGACTAGATGGGGGCTGTAGTGTAGTCCACTGGGCTGGGGGTTGGGAACTAGGGACTAGATGGGGGCTGTAGTGTAGTCCACTGGGCTGGGGGTTGAGGTTTAGGGACTAGATGGGGGCTGTAGTGTAGTCCACTGGGCTGGGGGTTGGGAACTAGGGACTAGATGGGGGCTGTAGTGTAGTCCACTGGGCTGGGGGTTGGGAACTAGGGACTAGATGGGGCTGTAGTGTAGTCCACTGGGCTGGGGGTTGAGGTTTAGGGACTAGATGGGGGCTGTAGTGTAGTCCACTGGGGGTTGAGGTTTAGGGATTAGATGGGGGCTGTAGTGTAGTCCACTGGGCTGGGGGTTGAGGTTTAGGGATTAGATGGGGGCTGTAGTGTAGTCCACTGGGCTGGGGGTTGAGGTTTAGGGACTAGATGGGGACTGTAGTGTAGTCCACTGGGGGTTGAGGTTTAGGGACTAGATGGGGGCTGTAGTGTAGTCCACTGGGGGTTGAGGTTTAGGGACTAGATGGGGGCTGTAGTGTAGTCCACTGGGGGGTTGAGGTTTAGGGACTAGATGGGGGCTGTAGTGTAGTCCACTGGGGGTTGAGGTTTAGGGACTAGATGGGGGCTGTAGTGTAGTCCACTGGGGGTTGAGGTTTAGGGACTAGATGGGGGCTGTAGTGTAGTCCACTGGGGGTTGGGAACTAGGGACTAGATGGGGGCTGTAGTGTAGTCCACTGGGGGTTGAGGTTTAGGGACTAGATGGGGGCTGTAGTGTAGTCCACTGGGCTGGGGTTGAGGTTTAGGGACTAGATGGGGGCTGTAGTGTAGTCCACTGGGGGTTGAGGTTTAGGGACTAGATAGGGGCTGTAGTGTAGTCCACTGGGCTGGGGGTTGGGGTTTTAGGGACTAGATGGGGGATGTAGTGTAGTCCACTGGGCTGGGGGTTGAGGTTTAGGGACTAGATGGGGGCTGTAGTGTAGTCCACTGGGCTGGGGGTTGAGGTTTAGGGACTAGATGGGGGCTGTAGTGTAGTCCACTGGGCTGGGGGTTGAGGTTTAGGGACTAGATGGGGGCTTGTAGTGTAGTCCACTGGGCTGGGGGTTGGGAACTAGGGACTAGATGGGGGCTGTAGTGTAGTCCACTGGGCTGGGGGTTGGGAACTAGGGACTAGATGGGGGCTGTAGTGTAGTCCACTGGGGGTTGAGGTTTAGGGTTTAGATGGGGGCTGTAGTGTAGTCCACTGGGCTGGGGGTTGAGGTTTAGGGACTAGATGGGGGCTGTAGTGTAGTCCACTGGGGGTTGAGGTTTAGGGTTTAGATGGGGGCTGTAGTGTAGTCCACTGGGGGTTGAGGTTTAGGGACTAGATGGGGGCTGTAGTGTAGTCCACTGGGGGTTGAGGTTTAGGGACTAGATGGGGGGCTGTAGTGTAGTCCACTGGGGGTTGAGGTTTAGGGACTAGATGGGGGCTGTAGTGTAGTCCACTGGGGGTTGAGGTTTAGGGACTAGATGGGGGCTGTAGTGTAGTCCACTGGGGGTTGAGGTTTAGGGACTAGATGGGGGCTGTAGTGTAGTCCCACTGGGGGTTGAGGTTTAGGGACTAGATGGGGGCTGTAGTGTAGTCCACTGGGCTGGGGGGTTGAGGTTTAGGGACTAGATGGGGGCTGTAGTGTAGTCCACTGGGGGTTGAGGTTTAGGGACTAGATGGGGGCTGTAGTGTAGTCCACTGGGGGTTGAGGTTTAGGGACTAGATGGGGGCTGTAGTGTAGTCCACTGGGCTGGGGGGTTGAGGTTTAGGGACTAGATGGGGGCTGTAGTGTAGTCCACTGGGCTGGGGGTTGAGGTTTAGGGACTAGATGGGGGCTGTAGTGTAGTCCACTGGGCTGGGGGTTGGGAACTAGGGACTAGATGGGGGCTGTAGTGTAGTCCACTGGGGGTTGAGGTTTAGGGACTAGATGGGGGCTGTAGTGTAGTCCACTGGGGGTTGAGGTTTAGGGACTAGATGGGGGCTGTAGTGTAGTCCACTGGGGGTTGAGGTTTAGGGACTAGATGGGGGCTGTAGTGTAGTCCACTGGGGGTTGAGGTTTAGGGACTAGATGGGGGCTGTAGTGTAGTCCACTGGGGGTTGAGGTTTAGGGACTAGGTGGGGGCTGTAGTGTAGTCCACTGGGGGTTGAGGTTTAGGGACTAGATGGGGGCTGTAGTGTAGTCCACTGGGGGTTGAGGTTTAGGGACTAGATGGGGGCTGTAGTGTAGTCCACTGGGGGTTGAGGTTTAGGGACTAGATGGGGGCTGTAGTGTAGTCCACTGGGGGTTGGGAACTAGGGACTAGATGGGGGCTGTAGTGTAGTCCACTGGGGGTTGAGGTTTAGGGACTAGATGGGGGCTGTAGTGTAGTCCACTGGGGGTTGGGAACTAGGGACTAGATGGGGGCTGTAGTGTAGTCCACTGGGCTGGGGGTTGGGAACTAGGGACTAGATGGGGGCTGTAGTGTAGTCCACTGGGGGTTGAGGTTTAGGGATTAGATGGGGGCTGTAGTGTAGTCCACTGGGG